ACTTGTAATAAAAAAAATCGAAAGAAATATGCTTATTTTTTTTCAATATCATTCTGATGAGCGGGTGTCCGAGTGGTTAAGGGTTTAGGCTTCACTCAAGATGTTAATGATTTTAAGTTGTGTTCGCTTCCCGGTCGTAGGACAATAGCTCTTAAAATTTTTCTTTCAACAAATAACTCATTTATTGAGTTTAATTTTGTTTTAAAAATCATTATATTTTTACATGGAGTAATTACGGTTTTTTGGCCCTCTAAAATTCTTAAAATTTTTCGTATGACTAATAAATGATGAATTTTGCTGCTTACAGCCTTAGAAATTTTCACAATTTTCGCCTGCGGCGCTGAAAAAAATTTAGCTTCTTGTCCTCAAATATTCTAAAATTTTCGCTTACGGCGCTGAAAAAGATAGTTGAATGGTATAACGGATGATTTGGATGGATCAATGTGGATTTTGAATTATATAGTGTGACATCAATGGGCCTAATATCCTTCTTTACTTCCTTATCCCCATAAAACGTATATCGCTCCTTCTTCCACTGATATCCCTTAAAACCCTTACAATTCTGAATCCTTATATCGTCCGATATCAAACACTTATACCACCAAATCCGTTCATACACCACTCTCTAACCCAAATATATCACTTATCGTCGACGATTTTCGGTTCGGTTTTGGTTAATCAAAAGTCTCGGTTCGGTTTGGTTTCGATTAACCGAAGAAGTTGGTGAACAGTCAACTCTACTTAAACTACAAATTTTTTAAAATTTGCTAGCAAAAATCTTTTTAAAAGTTCCGGTTCCGGTTCCGGTTCCGGGCCGGAACTTTGAAAAGTTCCGGTTCCGGTTCCGGAAACCGGAACTCAAATTGGATCCGGTTCCGGTTCCGGTTCCGGTCAAAAATTCGGTTCCGGTGAAACACTAGTAATAACTAGAGACCGGATTTTTATGCATTAAAAAATGCAAAATATGCACTATAATATGCATAAAAAATTGACAAAATATGCACGAAAATATGCAAAAAACCCAAAATATCCGCGCAAATATGCAAGAAAAATACAATTTATACATAAAAATTTTACATTTTCTTAGTCAAAAACATTCAATCACCTATTTTTATTAAGATTACTCCCAGTTTACATGTATTTTTCAACAAATTGAGTATTTTTGCTCTGTTGGACATTTTGAGATGAGGCGTTTTGGCGGTGTGAAATTTTGGAGTAGGGCATTTTTGGGTCGCGTCCAACAAACGAAAATTTTTTTTTACAATATTCTTGATTTTTACAAATTTTTTCCGAAATTTTTACTTTTTGGCAGGATTTTAGGCAATTTTCGCTGTATTTTTCCCAAAAACTTGAAAATATGCAGTAAAATATGCATTATGCAGCAAAGTCCGAAATATGCAAAAATATGCATTATATGCAAATAGAAACCCTCTCTAAAGTTTTCAAAACTTGCGGAAACAGTGTTTTTTGTGCATAACACGTCATGAAAAGTTTGCAAAAAAAATATGCATTTGCATAAAAATCCGGTCTCTAGTAATAACGTATAAGTAACTAAATTTTTGTTTAAATTGACTTATATTTCATTGGACCCGTAAAGGTTCATCAGACGCATGAATTAGTGCCAATAAATTGTTTTTTAAACATTTTATTAAAAAATTCATCTTGTTTTTAGGAAAAAATGTTAACAGGGGAAATATATTCAACAATTATTTATTGTTTTGCTACATTTGGAATTATTTCTAATTTATTTTTAATTCGGCTAATTTTGCGTTATACAATGAAAGAAATGCAAGTTTATAGCAAAATACTTTTGCAAACTTGTTTTGTTGATATTGTTGGGATTTGTGTGTTTGTTGTTTCTCAACCGGTAAAAATAAATATTTGGTTGTGGTAAGGCTTTGGAACCGGAATTTTGGTTACCAAGTCAAAATACGGAATATTGAGCACTGAAATTTTGGACATCAATGGGAATTTTTGTCATCAAACTTAAAAAATGAATCTTATCTATAACTATATCAGGCTAATCACTTTCCTGGTTAATCAATTTTTCAGGAGAGTGATCAGGAGGGAGAGTGATAAGCTGGGAGATTTTGTTCCCAGTTGTTGGAACAAAATGATCATATGTTCTCAGTTCGAATAAATTTTCCACCGTTGAAAAAAGTTGGAAAATTCAACTTCTCTCGTAGATGGAACACAACTGATCGAACAACATTCTACGTAGAATTAATTATTGGCGGCACATTGGGCGTGGTACCGGTTTTAGATAATCCCTTTTACACCTTGGGAATTTATCTTCATTTTAAATATAATTACATCATAATTTTTCATTAATTAAGGCTTTCATTTCCGATAATGGCACAGGTATAGTTTGGGATTACGGACTTATACATTACTTACCAAATCCATGGCAATCTATTCTTCTCCGTATTAATTTCTTTATGGGAAGAGTTACTACATCGAATGTCTCGACATTATTCGTTTATCGTTATTTGGCAGTTGTACGGTAAAACAGGGGAAATTGAGAAAAATCTTTGAGTTTTCTATATAGAAAAGTTGATATTAAATTTAAACACCAATTAATCTTAATTTTTGGGATGATAATTCCATTGTTGGTTTTGAGTATTTTGTCTTATATTGCATACTATCCAACTCCAGAAAAGGAACATTTGACCAATTATGAAGTGGCAAAAATATTAGAATTGGATAATGATACGATTAAGAATTATGTTATTGGACTTAGAACAGGGGTTAGTTAGAATTAGAGACCGGATCGAAACGATATATCGATGGAAAATATTGATATTATCGAACGACCATTTAAGTCCGGTCTCTAGTTAGAATATTTCGATTTTCTAAGAGCGACCCTCAGACCTTCACAAAATTCTATGAAGCACATAAAGAAACGAAAAATCATACCCCAAACCCTCAGATAGGGATTTTAGTTATTGAAGAAAAGTGAAAGTCTATTTTGATAAATTTTTTTGTCTTGTAAGGATTTATTTTGAACGTTTGAAAAATTTTTTATAAAAAATTTAAGACCGACGATCTATCAAATTTTACTGGAAATTTTGCTTCAGCATTAAATATAATTAATTATATAATTATCATTTTTTGTGGTATAAGTATTCAAATTAGGGTTGGTCCCCGAGCCTTCGGGGTTGGAAAAGTCGAGGGTCGGGGTTTTCGGGGTTGACAAAGTCGGGGTCGGGGTCGGGGTTGCTCAAATTGTTCGGGGTCGGGGTCGGGGCTGAAAATAATGTCGGGGTTCGGGGTCGGGGTCGGGGGTCGGGGTTGAAGTGAAAATTTACAAAATCCAGCATTTTTATCCAAAATTACTGTACAAAATCAACATTTTTATTAAAAAATCAACTTAATCTTCAATATCTTCACTTTCTGTATCTAATTCGTGATTAGTTGAAGGCGCAAGAAGTACTTTATCCAAGTTATCCTTCATAATCCCCAAAATCCCCAAACCCACAAGGTAACTCTTACTCCACTTCTTATGTAAAGGGATTGAGGGGATATGAAGGCATATCAGAGGATTAAGATGGATATAATGGGATTTAGAAGGATTTGACGGGATATCGGGGAGTTGCAAGGATAACGGGAGAAATCCATCTATCCATCAATTTCTCCTAAAGCCTCTGTATCCCTTCATTGAGTCTAGCGCCGCAGGCAAAAATTTTGAGAATTTTGGAAGGTCAAGAGCCAGATTTCTTCCATTTTCGGCGCCGCAGGCAAAAATTTTGAGAATTTTGGAAGGCCAAGAGACAGATTTCTTCAATTTCTGCGCCGCAGGCGAAAATTTTTAGAATTTTGGAAGGCCAAGAGACAGATTTCTTCAATTTTCTGCGCCGCAGGCGAAAATTTTGGAAAATTCATGACTAGTTTAAAATTTCTAATATTGTTTCAAGTGTAAAATATTTAAAAAAATAAATTTGCAAATTTAAAATCAAGATCATAGTTTAAAAATATGTATTTATTTTTGAGAAGAAAAATTTTCTCAGCCTTATTTCCATCCCTGGATTCGAACAACATTCCTATCAAAATAGCTAGATGGCTGAAGTCAGTTAACCTAACCACTCAACCATCGACCAACAAAAGGAAACAGGAGAAAATATAAATATTTTTTTTACCTTTTCCTTCATATATTTAGCATCAAAGTCCCGATCCCGTTCCGATCTCTAGTTAATTAATGCAGTTTGAGTCGGGGGCATAAAAATTTTTCGGGGTTCGGGGTCGTCGGGGTCGAACTTTCGGGGGTCGGGGTTTTCGGGGTTGGGAATGTCGGGGTCGGGGTCGGGGTTTTAGGTCAAAAAATGTCGGGGTTCGGGGTCGGGGTCGGGGTTAGTCGGGGTCGGGGACCAACCCTAATTCAAATACATGTTTATCGTCATTGTAAAGGTGTAGAAATGACTCGATTACGTAATATGAATAAACAATTAAGTATTGTTTTGGTGGCACAGGTATTTTTGGAAAGTTTTTGAAACGAAGGATATTCTCAAAATAATTTTGGCCTGCTGTGCTAAAATAGAAACCCTTATGCTATTATTCCTCCATCATGGGGCGACTCAGAAGAAATTTGGAATTGGATCTGCTTTCCAGATAGGGATGTAACGGGTTACCTGAAACCAGCTGATTCTTTCGACCCGAACCCGACTTGACATTTTTCTCAAATTGTGACATCCCTGTTCCAGATCGCCATTATACCCTCCAAAAGATCCTTGTTCATTTTCGCCATTCTCAATATTCCGTCTTTTGAATTGTTTATTCGGCAATCTCAGGTACAAATAAAATAGTACACTGACAATGATTGGAAATCAAAAATAAAAAAATATATGTCAATTATGAAATGAAATTTTAAAAAATAAATCAAAATTAATTCTAAATGAATTTAAATTAAAAAAAAATTTGTTTAAAAAAAATAAATACCCTAAATACCAATCAGAATAAATAGATTTCAATAAATACCAATTTAATTAAAGGCTATTCTCCCTTTAATGACAAATCTCACCAATTTGTTTGGAAATTTAACTTTTTTATTTAATTTGCCTGGCCTATATTCATCCTCAATTACAATATTCTTTAGCTCTAGTTTGGCATCTTTAGTTGCTTTTTTAAATCCTATTGTGAGTTTTTTTATTTAAAATTATTTTTTAATTTTTATAATTTCAAATAGGTAACAATTTTGAGCGTCAAAAATTACAGACAAATAGTTTTCCGATGCAAAAATAATTCAACTGTTACTCCTGTTATTCCGATGCTGCCGCAGAATTCAATAGCAAATAGAAATTTAGTACATTCTATTTAAAAATTCTGATTTTTTATTTGATAATATATAAACTGTATTCGGAGTTTTATGACCATTGTTCAGAACAGAGATTACGTTTAAAATTAGAAGCTCTCTCTAAAAAGACTCATAAAATTAATTATAAACTTTTAATTTAAAAATTTAATTCCACAAAAATATGTTACAAATTTTTATGATAATAAAAATACAATTTTAGTAATATATTTTAAAAGTTTAATTTTAATGAAAACAAAAAATCTTGTAAAAATATGCAAACATTGAAAAATAAACTAATTTAAAAATAAAAACAACGGTGTAAGAAAAGAAATTAATTTTTAAAAATTTTTACAAATTTTGAACGACTTAGAAAGCATTAAAAATTTAAATAAAAGCCAAAATTTGTCGAAAAATCGTAAAAAATTTTACAAGGCCATAAACATCAAAAATCAACAAGATTAAACGTTTAGGCATTTTAAATTATTTTTAAAAAATAAGAAAAAACTAAAAATTTTTTTAAAAACCCATAAATTTTTCTCCTTATAGTTTCAACTCATAATTGAATTTCACCTCCATTAAGATAAACAAGAACATTATCTATGCTTGGCGTGTTTCTAGCGCGCTTGCAAGCCTTAAAATTATAAACATCATACCTATATATATTAAATAATTCCAAATTAGTCACTATATTTTCAAAATACTTTTAAAATAGTATAAACTAGAAAGATGAATAAAACTAGTGTTGGCACAGCATCTTAAAATAGGCAGAGGCTGTTACTTGCCTTTCATCGCGGTACTTGTGGCTTAGTTGGTAGCGCGCCCACTTTAAGTGTAAGGTTCGAACACAATCGATCATTATAACTTATATAAAATGTAAATCCCAATAATATCTTTGATAATTAACATTTAATGTCATTTTAAAGTAAAACGAATTTTTTAAATGAATTTTTACTTTAATTTTTCACTTTTTAAAACTGGTTTATTTGGCCATTCAAAAAATTTTTTTCCCATTCCAAAAATTAATAAATTTGGTTTTAAAACAAAGATAAGACACCGTTTCATTATTTGGGTTGGATAAAATTTTTTTTAAAAGGAGTTCTTTCGAGATTAAGCTTTTCGAAATTGCAACCCCCAAATCTTTAGAAAATAGCACGCGAAAGAAATAGTGGGGAAAAGAAAAAGATACAGTATTTTTATTTATTTCAGTGCCACTGAAACGGCTAAAAGTAACAGGTTAAGATGCTGTGTGTTGGTCAAACGCGATTTTGCGGTATCGGTATTTTCGGTAAAATACCGATACCGCAAAATACCGCGGTATTTTTGATTGAGGCGGTATCGGTATTTCGGTAAAAATACCGCGGTAATACGGTACCGCGACCAACTCTAAATAAAACATACATTTTCAACATGATTTAAACGGGTTCCATAATTGCCGCCACTGCGCAACTTAAGGTTTGTGATCATTGTGCCATACTGTCGAACATCAGTATCGATATTTACCTTAAAATATTTGGAGGGTTTAAGACGAGTTTTTACACAATTAATGCATAATCAAGCCGAAAACCCAAGAAAAGTTTAGAATCAATATAATTTTATGATTACTTGTTGGGATTGATCATCTAGTAGAATTGATTTATTAAAATCTACCAGTTTGCAAGAATTTAACGGAAGTGACAAATTATGCCCATGTGGAATAACAAAATTGGATGCTTTGATATCATTGTGAATGGCATCTTGAATTTAATTTAAGAGTGAATTTAATTTTAATGTTTTTTGGAACAATAATTTTCAATAATTAAAGAATATTTTTTTAATTATTATTTTCGTAAAAATTTAAATAGGGAATTTTTTAACAGTTTTGTTTTATCGATAAAACTTTCAACGAAAATAGAAATTATTTGCATTTTTTACTCATCAAATTCGAGAATTTTTGAAACTTATTTTTTAATGTTTATCACTTATTTTGGCATTTTATGCTACATTTAGGAACCTAATATTATCTATACTAAAAACCGTCTAATATGAATAGTATGGAGTTTGTTTGTTTCTGTAATTGTGTTACAGAAAATATATGATTTATAAATAAAAATACATATTAGAGTTTAGGGTTTAGCTAATAAATGTTTTAATTTTTACGTTGATGAAATTTTTGGAGCGCTTTTGCAGCACATTTGAGAATATTTAAAAGAAGAAATTCTCGTTCATTATCTAGAAGTATCCCATTTTTTGCTTCTCTATTCACAATTTCACTCATTTTTATATCAAAATAATTTTCAAAATTCATCCCTCCAAGCTCCATAGCAACAATCATCTTTGTTATATTATTAACTGTTTCTTCTTTTCTTAAATTTAAAAATGATATTGTAATTGATTATAGAAAATCTTTAGATAAATCTTAGCAAAAAATACTGATGCAAAATTAATGCAAAATTAATCTTCTCTTGTTTGAATATGCCATAGAGAAAAGAGGAAAGGGGGAAAATCCGACCATTATGTACAATCTTAAATAAGGAAAAAAGGAGAGGGGCAACATCTTAAGAATTACCGAAATCTTCATTAATTCTACGTTCTCTAGTAGTCAAAAAATATTTTTGCGGATAACCATGCCACTAACTTAATGTTTAAAAAGCTTACTTTCCATATATTTTAATCATATGTGTTCTTTGATCAGCGGGACATTTAGCAAAGTATTCAAGTATTCGAATTTCGTTATATGCTGCGTCCCTTGAGGAAATTCCAAGAACCATACGCTCAGATTCGACAGCACTGCAGTCTGTATTTCTGTGATTTTGAGAGCAACACATTCGTTTAATCCCAAAGAATATGCATGAAAAATCTTCAGAAAAGTATTATTGAAAATTTTATACTTGAAAATGACAGTTCTAAACATACACGGCTGAATCCTCCCCTTCCAATTTCATGCTTCATATTTACATTTAATTCAATTTCTTCTTGATTTTGGCTGATAATTTGTTTTTTAATTGTAAAATCTTTTCTTTTGTATTCCCCACAATAACATTTTGGTGAAATAAAAGAGAAGCATCCGGCATTTGCTATTAAATTATAATAATTTTAAAATTTAAAGTTGTTACCAGGTTCATCAAGCATTGTTAAGATTAATGAACAAGCAAATATTTGTAATATGTTCATAACAATTATATTAAATGAAGGAAATCGTATGAAAATTAAAACTTTTCTGTAAAGTGCATGTTTAAAGTCACGAGTAAAGTAGGATGTTTAAAGTCACGAGTAAAGTCGGATGTTTAAAGTCACGAGTAGAGTCGCATGTTTAAAGTCACGAGTAAAGTCGCATGTTTAAAGTCACGAGTAAAGTCGGATGTTTAAAGTCACGAGTAGAGTCGCATGTTTAAAGTCACGAGTAAAGTCGGATGTTTAAAGTCACGAGTAGAGTCGCATGTTTAAAGTCACGAGTAAAGTCGGATGTTTAAAGTCACGAGTAGAGTCGCATGTTTAAAGTCACGAGTAAAGTCGCATGTTTAAAGTCACGAGTAAAGTCGGATGTTTAAAGTCACGAGTAGAGTCGCATGTTTAAAGTCACGAGTAAAGTCGGATGTTTAAAGTCACGAGTAAAGTAGGATGTTTAAAGTCACGAGTAAAGTCGGATGTTTAAAGTCACGAGTAGAGTCGCATGTTTAAAGTCACGAGTAAAGTCGCATGTTTAAAGTCACGAGTAAAGTCGGATGTTTAAAGTCACGAGTAGAGTCGCATGTTTAAAGTCACGAGTAAAGTCGGATGTTTAAAGTCACGAGTAGAGTCGCATGTTTAAAGTCACGAGTAAAGTCGGATGTTTAAAGTCACGAGTAGAGTCGCATGTTTAAAGTCACGAGTAAAGTCGCATGTTTAAAGTCACGAGTAAAGTCGGATGTTTAAAGTCACGAGTAGAGTCGCATGTTTAAAGTCACGAGTAGAGTCGCATGTTTAAAGTCACGAGTAAAGTCGGATGTTTAAAGTCACGAGTAAAGTCGCATGTTTAAAGTCACGAGTAAAGTCGGATGTTTAAAGTCACGAGTAGAGTCGCATGTTTAAAGTCACGAGTAGAGTCGCATGTTTAAAGTCACGAGTAAAGTCGCATGTTTAAAGTCACGAGTAAAGTCGGATGTTTAAAGTCACGAGTAGAGTCGCATGTTTAAAGTCACGAGTAAAGTCGCATGTTTAAAGTCACGAGTAAAGTCGGATGTTTAAAGTCACGAGTAGAGTCGCATGTTTAAAGTCACGAGTAAAGTCGGATGTTTAAAGTCACGAGTAGAGTCGCATGTTTAAAGTCACGAGTAAAGTCGCATGTTTAAAGTCACGAGTAAAGTCGGATGTTTAAAGTCACGAGTAGAGTCGCATGTTTAAAGTCACGAGTAAAGTCGGATGTTTAAAGTCACGAGTAAAGTCGCATGTTTAAAGTCACGAGTAAAGTCGCATGTTTAAAGTCACGAGTAAAGTCGCATGTTTAAAGTCACGAGTAAAGTCGCATGTTTAAAGTCACGAGTAAAGTCGCATGTTTAAAGTCACGAGTAAAGTCGGATGTTTAAAGTCACGAGTAGAGTCGCATGTTTAAAGTCACGAGTAAAGTCGCATGTTTAAAGTCACGAGTAAAGTCGCATGTTTAAAGTCACGAGTAAAGTCGGATGTTTAAAGTCACGAGTAGAGTCGCATGTTTAAAGTCACGAGTAAAGTCGGATGTTTAAAGTCACGAGTAGAGTCGCATGTTTAAAGTCACGAGTAAAGTCGGATGTTTAAAGTCACGAGTAAAGTCGGATGTTTAAAGTCACGAGTAGAGTCGCATGTTTAAAGTCACGAGTAAAGTCGCATGTTTAAAGTCACGAGTAAAGTCGGATGTTTAAAGTCACGAGTAGAGTCGCATGTTTAAAGTCACGAGTAAAGTCGGATGTTTAAAGTCACGAGTAGAGTCGCATGTTTAAAGTCACGAGTAAAGTCGGATGTTTAAAGTCACGAAAGTCACATGTTTAAAGTCACGAGTAAAGTCGCATGTTTAAAGTCACGAGTAAAGTCGGATGTTTAAAGTCACGAGTAGAGTCGCATGTTTAAAGTCACGAGTAAAGTCGGATGTTTAAAGTCACGAGTAGAGTCGCATGTTTAAAGTCACGAGTAAAGTCGGATGTTTGAAGTCACGAGTAAAGTCGGATGTTTAAAGTCACGAGTAGAGTCGCATGTTTAAAGTCACGAGTAAAGTCGCATGTTTAAAGTCACGAGTAAAGTCGGATGTTTAAAGTCACGAGTAGAGTCGCATGTTTAAAGTCACGAGTAAAGTCGGATGTTTAAAGTCACGAGTAGAGTCGCATGTTTAAAGTCACGAGTAAAGTCGCATGTTTAAAGTCACGAGTAAAGTCGGATGTTTAAAGTCACGAGTAGAGTCGCATGTTTAAAGTCACGAGTAAAGTCGGATGTTTAAAGTCACGAGTAAAGTCGCATGTTTAAAGTCACGAGTAAAGTCGCATGTTTAAAGTCACGAGTAAAGTCGCATGTTTAAAGTCACGAGTAAAGTCGCATGTTTAAAGTCACGAGTAAAGTCGCATGTTTAAAGTCACGAGTAAAGTCGCATGTTTAAAGTCACGAGTAAAGTCGCATGTTTAAAGTCACGAGTAAAGTCGCATGTTTAAAGTCACGAGTAAAGTCGCATGTTTAAAGTCACGAGTAAAGTCGCATGTTTAAAGTCACGAGTAAAGTCGCATGAGTAAAGACCACTGTCTCTATTAGAACCACCTTCTATAATATAACCACCATAAATTGAGGAGTCTTATAACTAGGGTTTGACCCCTAAATCCTGAGGGCACGTTTTTCGGGGAGCGTTAGAGGATGACTGATAGTAAATTGTGAGTGTTATTCTGTCAATCATCCTCTAACGTTCCACGAAAAACGTGCCCTCAGGATTCGGGGTCAAACCCTACTAATAACCAAATATCTATTATGTATACAGATTAGCGCCGTAGTATAAGAGTTTTTAGTTCGACTGTGATATGTCCGGTATTTGATGTTTTTATTTGTTATCTATTTTTATAAATTCTTTAAATTATTTCTCCAAACCATACATATTTTAAATGTAATATATAATGATAACTAGGGTGTTTCAAAATATGCACGAAAAATCCAAAAATATGCGCATATATATGCACCGAAAAAGCCCAAAATATGCATCAAAATATGCCAAATTTGCCGAAATATGCACTAAATATGCAGCAAAAATAATGAAAATGTGCTTTAAATATCAATATTTCAAGTAAAAAATATAAATTTAGCATTTATATTGCAGTTTAAGAGCACTTCTAGAAGATTTTATTAACTTTAAATTTAACCAAGAGAAATTTTCTTGAAAAAAATTTTTCCCGAAAAATTTTTCTAAAAAATTTTTTCAACAAATTTTTATTAATAAATTTTTTGCTCAAAAAATTCCAAAATTTTGAAAATTTTGCCCGATTTTTACTAAAATTTCTCAAAAAATGACAAAATATGCACAAATTTAGGTAAAAAAATGCAAAATTTCCCAAAATATGCATCGATATGCAAATATGCACAAAAGTACCGAAATATGCAAAAATATGCTATAGAAACCCGGTCCCTAATCATCGTACCGACGTAAAAACACCATTTTTGAGCGTTTCAGCTCATAGCATATCCGCATACAAAATATGCATTTGCATGTTTTGAAACACCCTAATGATAACCGTTTGATCATAACGAAAACATACCTCTTCAATGATATATTTTTCTTATCAAACTTTATCTAAAAACATCAATGTTGGTGGTGAGATTTGGGAGAATATTAGTGGTTATATTCGGCGAAGGCTCCGGCTGTCCTAGTCCATTGAAGGACTAGGCCGTAGCCCCGATGGGTGATTTTCCCCTAGATTATTAAATTAAATAATTAGATTTAAAAACAGATTTATTTAACAAAAACAAAAGCTATTTCCAAGTAATTATTTTATGGGGAAGAATTAATGTAAGTGGGTCAGTGCTGGGTATGGCTCCGGGAGCTAGCTCCGGAGCCCGGCTCCGGAGCCGGCTCCGGCGGAGCCGGAGCCGGAGCTAAGATTTTGGAAACCCCGGAGCCGGAGCTGGAGCCGGAGCCAAGAATTTGAAACCCCGGAGCCCGGAGCCGGAGCCGGAGCCAAGGTTTTTCAATTCCCCACGGCTCCGGCTATACACCCCTAAAGATGGGTTAGAGAAAAAGAGGTAAGCAAAGATGGTAGGCGTGAAAAGAAAGGAAGAGAAAATTGAGACGGGTAAAAACGATTTTCTTTCCTTTCGTTTTGAAAGTGGTTGTGGTTGAATGGATAGTGAGTT